TAAGATGAAGACACCTCTATATATCAGCTATCAAAATACATACAGATTAGAAATTTTGCAGTCATACATGTTGATAGTGCACATATTTTTAAGATAGTTAGTTATCTGAAATTTAAATTTTAAACGCGGCTTACTGCGAATCCACAAACAGGGTAAATTTTCGATATTTTGCTTCGCGTTAGAGAAATCGGAAAAACTTATTTGGAAAAGTTATTCCACTTATTGTAACCGCACATTCCAAAATTCATGACAAAATTCGCAATTTTAGTTTTTCAGTATTATTTGTAATCTCGATCCTAAATCTACAATTGGCTGTCTAAAGATGCATCTCGGGACAGCCAACTGTCCGTTTTAGAATCCTGACTACAATTGAAGAGCTTATTTCCAAAGTGTCTTAAATCCATATAATGAAATCCATGAAATTACAGATTTTCATACAAATTTAACATACAAATTATACAATTTTACAATTTTCATATGCACTTTTAAATGGCAAATAAGAAGTTGTTTTGGTACATATAACTTTATTTTAGACTTGAAGAAATCTATAAAGTTTAAAAAAAGAAAATTAAAAAAATCGAAATTTTGGATTTAAGACACTGGAAATAAGCTCTTCAATTATTGAAAAAAGTAAAAGTGCGAATTTTGACATAAAACTTTGTTATGTGGGGTTATAATAATATTTGGAACATCTTTTCCAAATAACTTTTTCCGATATCTCTAACTCGAAGCAAAATATTGAAGATTCACCCTGTTTGTGCATTAACAGTAGGCCGTGTTTAAAAATTAAATTTCAGTTGATTATCTTAAAAAATGTGAATTGACAACCTGTATGACTGTGCAAAATTTCAAATTGGTATTTATTCTAATAGCCGAAATATAGGGGTATCTTCATCTTAAATGCGACACACTGTATAGAGTCAGAACAAAAAAAAACAAAAAACAAAAAAAAATATAAAAACAAAAAAAAAAAAAATAATAAAAACAAAATGAAAAAAAAACTAACTTTATATTCTTACTAACATACCTAACCCTTTCCTTTCCTGGCAAGGAAGGCTCATACCTCCTCGTGGTCCTTGCTGGACAGACAATATTTTGAGATTTTCTGTCCTTGCTGGATAGACAATCTTTTAAAATTTTCTGATAGAATGAACCATTATTTACAGATAATTGTAAAAAAATATTATGGTTTATGTAAAAACTAAATAATAAGTCCAATATTCTTATAAATCACTAAAATTAACAAGCTTTAATTTGAAAGAATTAATTTGTTATTTATTAGATGTTGTGAGCCCGCTCACATTTGAAAAAAAAAACTGATTCTGTCCTTTGAAGATTCCTATTCAAAAATACCGCGTTTAAACAAATCGAAGGTTGAAGGGTGCCGGACATTTTTGCCGGAAACAATTCAAATTCAAAAGATCTCCTTTTTCTGCTACGGAAAATATTACCCCAATTTCTCACCAAAATCAATGTCGAGACTTTAGTTTAAATACTCTTGAATCTCAAAAATACTCATTTACATATTTTTCAAGCCTCGAAAATGCATATTAGGTATCGCATTTTTCGGATTTTAAATCGCCTATATCTCCAAAACTATTAACTTTTGAGAAAAATGACATAGATCTTATTTAGAGTCACCCAAAAACCTAAAAAATATTTTTTGGAGCACAAAAGGTGATATTTTGAATTTGTTTAAAAAATTGTTCTGTAAAAAAAATTTTCCTGAATATAATTATGTAAAAATTAATAAAAATTATGATTTTTCTTGAAATATGCGTTTGATGAACTGATCCCTTTTCTTAATTTCCACGCCAATGGTCGGCATTTGCATCAAAGAAGCTCAAAAGCCGCCACTTGGAAAATTGACTTTGGAAAAAGTATACGAGAATTCAAGGTAAAGTTTTCGGACTAAGATCTAGACGACGAGTCGGCGTGAAAAAGGACAATGATTTATAATTATTCTCGTGGAATGTAAGATCTCTATACAGGCTAGGAGCCTTGCAGTCTCTCAATAGTGTAGAAGTATATAAGAGCGATATAATTGCACTTCAGGAAATGAGATGGTTGGGAAATAAAATATTAGAGAAAAAGAATTATACATTATAGCTGCCATCCAACGGAACACAAATTAGGAACGGGATTCATAGCCAATAAAAGAGTAAAGCATCTTATAATAGACTTCCAACCTCTCAACGAAAGATTATGCACACTAAGAATCAGAAGTAAATTCTTTAAATATTCAATAATAAATGCCCATGCACTAACTGAGAAGAAGCCGGATGAAGAAAATGAACAATTTTGTGAACAACTGGAAAATATCATACAACATTGTCCTAGAAATGACGTAAAGGTCTTAATAGTAGATTGTATTGCAAAGATACGTACGGAGAGGGAATACATGCAATTCACAGTTTACATGAAGAGTCAAACAACAACGGAACTCGACTAATACACTTAGCCTCCTCAATGAACATGGTGATTGCCAACATGGAGAAGTCCAGATGGGAATACAGTAAACCAAATCGACCATCTTGTGGTTGACGCAAGACACTTAAGCGACGTGATAGACGTACGTGCAAGACGCAAGGCGAACAAAGACTCGGACCATTACCTACTACAAGCTAAACTAAGAGCTAGAATCTCCAATGCAAAGAAAAAAAAGGTGTTAAAGAGGAAAGGTTGAAAGTAGAAGCGTTGAAGAACCCTGAGATAGATAAGAGATTCGAGAAAGTCTCGAAAGCAAGCTGGAAGGCTGCACGGATGTTATAGTTGAAGATATTAACAACTAATGGAGGCACTGTATAGCCATATTGGAATAAGTGGCAACTGAAGTAAAACATAAAAAATTAAGGTCAGACTGGTACGATGAGGAATGCGCACAAGCAACGCAAAGAAAAATCAGGCATATAGAAGACTCCAAGGGCGAAGAACGAGACAAACAGAGGAAGAGTATAGGGAGCTGAAACGAGAAGAAAAACGAATACTTAAAAAAAAAGAGCATATGGAGAGCCAACTAAAAGATCTACAGAACTATAAGGCACAAGCAGAAAAGCGAAAGTTCTACAAGAGCATTAACCAGAACAAGAAAGAATTCAAACCTGGATTATCAATCGTTAGAAATAGAACAGGGGAGATCATTGGTGATCAGGACCAGATACTAGAAAGATGGAGAGAAAACTTCGAGGAAAGGATAAATATAAGAGGTGAGACAGGGCTCCACGAATCAGAATCCTATTGGAGCTGTATGTTGTAGATGGGTAAGTTGGATGTAGATGCTTCTTTTGCAGCGCTTTCAGCCATCTAATTTTCTTGGATGCCAATATGAGAAGGCACCCATATTATTATTGTTATATTATTAAAATATCCTCCAACGAATGAATTGCGGATAAGGAATCTGTTAAAAGAGCTACACTTTGACGATTGTTAAGAGGGAACTCGAGAGCTTTTGAAATACTGAAGTGTGAAATAGTGACAGAACAGCCAACTTCATCTGCGTTTCGGGATGCATCGGTATAAAGCACCTTATCATAGTAGGATGTATTAACAATGATGATATCATTTTTGTTACGTATTAAATTTACAGAGGAAAGTGTTTATAAAAGAAGGTGTTCTAGACCATAGCAAGATTTCTGATTTTATAGATGCAAGTGTTTGGGATAATTTTGTGTCTTGGCACAAGGGTTGTGTTCACGCCTCTATTTAATTCAAGTTTATTTTTACATTTTTACAATCCGGCAACATAGTAGAGTAGGACATATTCAGCCCTATTCTGTAACTACAAATCGAATAGAAATGAGTCAAATCGAATAGAGGTCAGCAAGTCGGATCGGAATTTGTAGGAATTGGTATTCTGTAACTCATCTCGACCTCTACTATCGGAATGTTGGGTAGAAATTGATTTCGACTAGACAAGCTCTGTCGAGATCAAATTTCGACATCGAAATTGGTCTTGAAATGTCTTGCGCATTGGTTGTTTTGACATTTATTTGTTGACTTTTTGATCTAAATTAGCGGTTGATTAATTTTTGTAGCTACTTCATTTTTTAGTCTGTTGTGTTATTTATTTAGATAAAGTTTACTAAATAATTTAACTGCTCAGCAAATGTCTTTTTCTTTGCTTTCCCGCTTGCCATTTTGTATTCTTGTAACGAACTTTTCAAACTTAAACAAAACATGTCAAAACTACTTGACGTGAAATATAATCTTCTTTTTTGATGAATTTTGCGCGATCACTAGCAGTAACTTAACGTCACAGAACACTTCTTTCGCGTTTCAATGCGGGGTTGCCACCAACTTCTGAGCGCGTCAAGTAGAAGTTGATGTTTTCGATTTACACCGATTACGATGTGAGTTACAGAATGCCAATCCAAACATAAAAACGACGCAATAGATATCCAACATTCCGATTTCGAGTAATTACGATTCGATTTGGTGATTTCTATTCGATTTGTCAAAAGTTACAGAATAGATCTGATTATGTTATATGTGAAGATAAGGCGAGCCCCTAAAACCACCCCAAAGACGACAGCACTGAAATACGAGAATTCGAGGCCGGCGGACCAGCGAGCGGACAATACTTATTAGCGGTTATATTTATGTATTGTTAATTCAGATAAAGTCAGTTTTTCACACGGTGTTTAATTATTTACCAGCGGCACAAGCGAAATGCAAATCAAGTCAATCTAGGTTGTAACATCGGAAAATCACATGACTATTTTGCTATTACTAAACGCAAAGCATCGATATTTTTGGTACAACAAATGATTTTTGATCACCTTCACAAAATTCGTCACAAAGTGAACTACAACAATCAAATTTTACAATGCATATGTCACATTTGAAGTTTTCCTACCCGTTATATCTAAAAATTTTAGTAGCAGTCTTTGTAACGCAATTCCTTCTCTTCATTTCAATATTGGAATCTTTGTTTCGGTTATTTTATGGTAATCAGAGAAAAATCATTAATAAAATAAAGTTTATTCTAGATGAACACTTACAGTTCTTGGGCAGCTGCAATTTGAAGTACGTCACCAACATTATTATAAAACATAAAAAACAGTAGGTCGTCTTTATACCGACTTAGTTTCATTGATGCGAGTTTCTCCCTAAAAGCGAACAATAGAATGTTAGTAACACATGAAAACTGATATTGAACAACAAAACTCAAATTTTTGCTCGTGTCCCTACAATTATTTATTAATTAAGTTAAAGGGAAGACATCTATTGTTAAAAACGAAAACTATGACCTGCAATGTATATTACAGATTCCTATACTACGTTTTGACGTATTGCAAAGGTAAAAACATGTTATAACACACATCTGCGTTAAAAAAACGTTACAATTGAAAGAAGAGTGTTACCCATATTGGCAATAGGTGCTAATTTCCAAACAATAAAGATGTGAGAGAGGTAAAAGTATAGTTAGATAGTTACCTTATCGCATGGTTAATGATATACTCAGGAGGTACATGGAAATCGATGTCCTGCGGCCGACACGGATGTTCCGCCCAGGGTCCGGCAAACGTGGGGTATAGGTTATCAGGTGAATTGAGATTCAGTCCAAGTGCAGTCAAATCTTGGCCTAGGGCCAATGATACAAGATTTGGATCAGTCTCAGCTGCCCTTATAAAGGTCAACAAACCTACTATACCAAATTGATCATTCACCATACTTGCTGGAATATTTGTTATTCTGCCATCAGGCGACGTCTGAATACCTAAAACACAAAATACGCAAAATTTAGTAATTAGCATAATCAGCGATTTATTATTAGACGGTTAATATTAAAGGGATTAACAATATTGCAGCATGTCTTCTCTCATATTTAATCTGTACATAGAACCTGTGCTTAAAAGTTGGAAAACGCGATATGGAATGGGAATACCTATAAATAATAATACGATTTTTCACTCAGTTTTGCAAACGATCAAATTGTGTTAGCTCAGGGCTCATATGATTTTAAATTCGCGATGAAAATAATATATCATCACATTTACAGATAAATCTGAAGAAAACAGAAGCGCAAGAATACCAAGAAAAGAAAGAAAAGGTAATGAGAAAGTAAGAATAGAAAAATGGCCCTTGAAGTGGGAATCCCATACGAGGTTTGTCTTTTTAGTTTTGCATATTGCTGCTTAGAGGGCGCTACCAATAAAACCTTTCGACACAAATGATCATGTCAACAGCAAAGAAAAAGGCTGTTGGTGAAAAATTACTGTAAAATTATCAAAAATTAATATTTTCTCTGAAATTCTGTTTTCAGAGTACTTTAAGTACTATACTTTTATGTCTTAATTACAAATAAAAATAAATTTTAGTTTTTGAAATATAATTTCTTGAAAAAATCGTTAGTTATACCCTCACGACCTACATAACCCCTTAATTTTTAGTTTTTTTTTCAATCAAAACATTCAACAAATATAACTCGTTCAGATAAAGAAACAGTCTATAAAGGGCTGCCGGTGGTCATGCTTTTTCGCTCACACTAAGACTAAGGCTCACACATATATCAGGCGTTCTTGTTTTCTCATTCACGCTCACGTTCATATAGCCGTTGCCATTTACAGTTTGTTTCTTTGTCTGGACGAGTTATACCTACCCCTTATTTCACAGACGTTTTTTTTCTTTTCAGATTGAATGCTGCTCCAGTTACTCCAATATTGAAACTGATAAAAAAATTGTGTGACTTTTTCACAAAACTGGATGAGAGGCTAAGTGCAAGATGCTCTTTATGCTTAAAAAAATTGTTGATTAGCAACCGCTCAACAACAGGCTTAAAAGGACATCTGAAAAAGATAAATAACGTCTCTTCTTCGAGTTCCAGCACCAGCACCATTATACCAGCTCCCAATGCCCCCAAAGCAACCTCGTCAAAAAATGAAGATAATCAGGAAGTAGTTCAGAGCAAAAAGTCAAAGACTATTGATTCCTCTTTTGAAAGAGAAAATTCTATAGAAGATATGGTTACTAGGATGGTTTGCAAAGATGGTTTTAGCTTGAGTTAATTTTGTACCTCACCCAACGCTTATTCGCAAAAAAGTGGATTCAAATTACCAACTTCTCCGAATACTTACACTAAGAGCGACAATTTACAGTTATGCAAAGAAAGTCCAAGCAAATTTTATAAAAGAATTTACTAATTTAAAACAAAAAGGACAAAAATTTTCATTGAGCTTCGACTTCCATCGAGTGGACTTCAAAAAAAAACACAGATACATAAATCTCAATTTGCACAATGCAGAACATTTTAATCTAGGTTTGATCAGAATTCACAGCTCGTGCATTGCCGAACACTACATTGAATTAGTGGCAGAACGGTTGGAAATTTTTGATTTAATGATTGAATCCGACACCATTGGTATCACAACCGACGGCGCATTAGTTATGGTGAAAATTGGCAAGCTCATGCCATGCTATCAACAACTGTGCTATGGACATGGCATTCATTTGGCTGTGGTAGATGTGCTGTATAAAAAGAAACCTCAAAGAGAAGTAGAACAAGCAGCAATAGACGAAACTGTTAAATATAAAGACGAAAATGAAGATATGGAGACAGAGATTAATGAAGGATTGGCAGTAACAATCGAACCAACATCGGCGAGTCTTGTTGAATTGATTCCCCGTTACAGCGATCTACTCATAAAAATACGAAAAGTTGTTAAAACGTTCAAAAAATCACCTACCAAAGACGACAAGTTCTTGCAAAAATATGTCAAGGAAGAGAAAGGCAAGGAATTAAGTTTGATTATTGACTGCCGCACCAGGTGGAACAGTTTGCTCAGTATGCTGGAACGTTTCTACAGCCTACAGTTTGCATCGATAAAGCGTTGATAGACATTGATTCTGCGATAAAATTCGCTGATGGCGAGTGGTCAATATAATCAATGAGTTGATCACCACACTTTAACCGGTGAAACTGGCTATAGAAGCTCTTTGCAGAAGAGAGTTCACTTTGATAAAGGCCGACACAACCTTGAAATTTGTCTTAGAAAAACTAAATAGCCAAGACTCTAGCCTTAGTGCCGAGCTATCGGAAGCACTACGCAACAGAATCGCGGAACGGCGCCTCAATGAAATTACAGGTACATTAGTGTACTTACAAAATCCAAAAAAGTATGAGAAACGAGAGAGAGAAAACTTTTATAACCAAAAAAAACTGGTTCTCACAAAGATTACGAAAAGATTTTGAAAAAGGAAATGATCGTTTATGAGATCGAAGGAGTGAAAGGCGATCATTTGTCTATGGTTTATGATTATTTGATGACCTTAAAACCGACCAGCGTAGAGGCCGAAAGGTCTTTCTCCGCAACCGGCTATATGTGCAGATCTATGCGTAGTAGGTTAGGCGATAAGACGATAGATAAAATATGTTTTTTAAGGTCTCACTTTCAAAAAACTAAATAATTCATGTTTCTGTTGTTTTGAAATTTAGAATACAGACTTATTTTTATCATGATCTCCAAAAAAACTCGTCCTCGATAATTTTTATTTGATGTGTAATGACCGCTGTGTAACATACCGAGAGATAGAGGCCTCTTTGGGCATTCATACATATTCAATTGTATTCTCGTCGCATTTATTTAACCTTGGAATACTATCGGCACCATCCTGCAGTTGTGATATGAGTCCTTACGGAGATCCTAACCATATTTTCTTTGGATGCAACAAATGTTTTCTTCTTCTTCACGTGCCATCTCCGCTACGAAGGTTAGCTATCATCATGGCAATTTTGACCCTGGAGGCTGCCGCTCGGAACAATTGTATGAAAGTGCAAGCAAACCACTCCCTGAGGTTTCTCAACCACGACATTCTTCTCCTACCTATGCTGCGCCTACCTTCCATCTTTCCTTGCATAATTAGTTGTAACAGTTGATATTTATTCCCACGTGTAATATGTCCCAGGTATTGTAGTTTCCTCATTTTAACAATCAATACGACCTCCTTTTGTTTGTTCATCCTGTCTAATACAACTTGGTTAGTTATCTTATCCTTCCAGGAGATTTTTAACATTCTACGGTACGCCCACATCTCAAATGCCTCCAGCTTACCCATACATTGCTTATTTAGTGTCCACGCCTCCACCTCATACAACAGGACCGAGAAAACATAACATTTAAGCATTCGTATTTTCAGCTTTAGGCTTAGGTTACGGCTACACAACATTTGTTTCATATTGTTAAAGGCACTGCGGGCTTTCTCTATTCTTATTCTTATTTCTCTGGTGTATTCGTTTGACTCGTTAATATTTGTTCCGAGGTAATTGTAATTTTGTACTCGTTCAATGAGATTCTGTCCTACATGTAAGTTGATATTATTGATACGTTTCTTTGTAATTATCATGAATTTGGTCTTCTTTGTATTCAGTGACAGACCAAATTCTTCACTTGCTTCTACCACTTTGTTTAGTAATCTCTGTAGGTCTTCAATATTTTCTGCTATGAGCGCGGTATCATCAGCATATCGGATATTGCAAATGGGGTGACCGTTGATCTTTATTCCGGCTTTTTCGTTCATAAGAGCTTTTTTAATAACTTCTTCCGCGTAGACATTGAACAAGGTTGGAGACAACACACAGCCCTGCCGAACACCTCTTTTGATCTGTATTCTATCTGATATCGAGCTGTTAATTCGTACTGTAGCTTCTTGATTGTAGTATAGATTCCTTATCACACGCATGTCCCTTGTATCAATATTTTTATTTTCCAGTATTTGCATCAGTGGCCTATGTTTTACTGTATCAAATGCTTTATTATAGTCTAGGAAACACACAAATATGTCCTGATTTACGTCTAAGCAACGTTGTGTTAGAACATTAAAAGCAAACAGTGCCTCTCTAGTTCCTAGTCCGTCTCTAAAGCCAAATTGAGAGAGTCCGATGTCAACTTCCAATTTTTTATATATTCTCCGATGAATGATTTTTAAGAAGACCTTTAATATATGACACATGAGACTGATGGTGCGATGTTCCGAGCATTGTCACGCATTAGACTTTTTGGGTATGGCTATTATTGTTGTTACTAGCCATTCATTAGGTATGATACCAGATTTGTAAATGCTGTTAAATAGTTCCACGATCTTTATTAAGTTGTTGCCTTTGACGAGTTTAATTATGTCTATTGGTAGTTCATCTGGGCCTGTAGCCTTCCCCGACCTCATTTCTTTAATCGTATATTCCACTTCATCTCTTGTTATTTCTGGTCCTGTGTCACTGTTTATGTATTCGTTATCTACATTGTCTCTTTGATCTTTAAACAGTTGTTCTATATACTGTTTCCAGACTCTTAACAAATGTTTGGAAAGATCTAATAAATTAATTCAAACTCTTATTTTATTGAAATATTTGCTTTCGTTAAGTCTATTACACATTTTGACAACTGCTAATAGAAAAACCTGAGAATTGCTAATAAATTTTATTAAAAATTTAAAAGTAGAAATATAAATTAGTATAACTTTAGTGATTTATACATATATCTAAAAAAAAGTAACAAACAAGAACAAAAAAAATGAATCTTTAAACATAAATAAAACATTCTGTGGCTGATGGACTTGTTTCCGTGCCATATCTTTCACACACACACATACTTTTAAGCATCAGAATATCATCTTATTTTTCCTTTTTAACGAAATTACCTAAAGTGCCGTCATTTCTGATGAAACGTCAAAATAACCTGATCAGACTGTTATTAATTAATAAATAATAAAAATGTATTTGCGTGT